AAAACAAAAACAAAAACAACTTCCCAAGTGCTGGCAGAAGTGCAGGTTTTTAGTTTTTGTATCCTGTAAGACATTTCACAAATGCTTATGTATCATCAACCCCCACATATGTATACACATTTACATCATAAAAATCTCTGTGTTCAAACATGTTTTTTCATCCTTTGTGCCTCATAGAAGAGGATTTTTTGTACTACCTGCAATGTGAATAACTCATTAAATTGATCAGTATTGTATCACTTTCACTCAGAAGCCTGAAATAGCTCTGAATGGAAAGCTTTCATTTTCAGCTATTTCTTTACTAGAGCCGGGATATTTGTACTGTGGCCATTGTACTGAAATCTGATTAGCATGCAATTCTCTAACTTCTTCACATCCTTCACATTCCCAGAAAATAAAATAATAAATAAATAAATAAATAAAAACAGAAATGTAATTTCAAAAATCTCCAAAGTTTATCATTTGTTTGTGAGTATGAAATCGAGGGTATTAGGTGCAGACTTAGTGCTGAGGCTGTGATACATTTTTGACTGCAATGACCAGTAAAGTCTTCCGAAGGGTTTGAGCATTTTTCTTTTTCTCTCTTCTTCACTGCTCATTGTTTTATTCATGTACTTTGCAGAAACTGGAATGCAGCCAGTTTGTTACAGATAGTGCTGTATTATTACTCTTCTCACTGTTTCACAAATTATATGTTTTTTCTTTAGAAAGGAGGGAGGCAGGAGGAGTCTTTCTGGCACACTTTGATTCTAATATTCTTTTTTTTTTTTTTTCCTCCATTTGTGTGGGAAGGACACATGATCCTCAACCTCACAGGCCTTGTGAATCTCATAGTACCTCACTCTGTGGGGAGAAGCATCATACAGTACTCTGACTGTACACAAACCAGAACCATTGCAATGCCTATGTAAATGTACGCATATCGTGTATAAAATAATTGTTGACAAAAACACCTGTTAATAATGGTCTTAAAAAAAAAAAAAAAAGAAGAAAAAGAGACAAGACCTTCAATAGAGGGTGGCACTCAGCAAGCATCACAAAGTTGGAAAGTTGGAATAATATAGGCAGCTATCAAACAATCACCCTTCCCCTAGATTTTTCTGATACGACATAAACCCAAACTACTACTATTTGAGTCATGCATAGCTAAACTTATTCAACATCTTTGACATGTGTTATAAAGGAAGGAACCAAACTGAACACTATTTTTGACAGACTTGAAATTTTGTTATTTTCAAAGAGCAATGCATCAGTGATAAAGGAAGAAGCTGATTTTGCAAAGAGAATTGGGTAATAGGGAGGAAAACTTCAGAGATCTGAAAAAAAAAAAAAAAAGAAAAAAAAAAAGAAAACAAAAGTGGAGAAAAAAAAAAAAGAGAAGCAAGCAAGAATGAGAGGTAGAGAGTAGCAACTATGTCTGAGAAATAATTAAAAAAAAAAAAAACAACCCTTGCACATCATTATGCACTGTTTCTCCTGTGGGTTTATATTCAACACATATCAGGCAGCCAAAAAGTAAAGTTCAGCCCTTTTTTCTGCCTCATCTGCACAGATCTAGCTGTTTCTTCATTTGAATCCAGGAGCTGAGCAGCTGGACTACATAAGGGGAAAAAGGAGAAAAAAATAGTGGCCATTTGAACATGATTGCTGCAGCAAATGGGAGGGAACCTGCAAGTTCGAGGTGCTGAGTTGCAAAACCACAGAATAGTTAGGGCTTGGAATGAGGAACCTCTGGAGGCCATCTGGTCCAAACCCCAGGCCAAGCACAGACACACAGAGCAGGTTGCCCAGGACCATGTCGAGGCAGTTTTTGAAGAATGTGAATGAATGGATTGGTATGTGATAGTAAAGGTAACATGTCAGGTGTCAAGGACAACCTACTTAAAAGACCTAGGACAGGTCAGATGGATAAAAACTGTGATCAGTTTTGGAGAAGGGTGCTAGCTGGAATTGTCATCTGGGGAGAGGGAACTGGGGACAGAGCTCCCAAGTTAGCTGGGAAAAGGAAGCATTATCTGGGAAGCTCATGGGAAGAGTTATGCAAGTATACAGCTACAGGCCTGTATTTTTCTCAGCAAAAGAGAATGAAAGTTCTGACACAATGAGTTGGAAACCAGGTTCACCTTAAACTTTTCAGGTAAAATTCTTCTAATAAAGCTTCTCATCTTCCTGCTTTGGAGGAAACTTGCTGAGAAGGAAAGAGGAAAATGGACGTTATTTTTCTCAAAGGCAACACTGTTGTTTTATTTAGAGTATATTATATGAGTTTACAAGACAGTAAACTGTAGTTTGGGTTCATCTATTAATACCAATGAGTGAACTTCCTAATTATTTACACAAAGTGTCTTGGGAATACTGGACATGGAAACTAGTCACTGCGGATGAGCATTCACTGACATTTAATCCCTCCTTTTTAAGATACTTTAATGACTGTTACTTTTTTTTTCCCGCTTCTGATTGTGAAATTAATATAGGATTTCCCTCATCTAAGCCTACCCATTTCCAGACTAATTTCTTCCTGTCTATTTTTGTGTATTTTTTTCTTGTGTTTCCATCACTTATAGCTTTATTTGTCCTTTATTCCCCCTTAGTGCTCACTTGATGATGATTAATAGACAGTAATGATGTTGCCTCTCAGCCTTCATTTTGGCAAGTACAATATGTTCAGCACTTCCATTTGTTTCCTGTGCAATGGGCTCTTGACTCTCCTATTTGTTTAGAAATGCATCTGTGCACCTACTCCAGGCTCAAAGGATACTTGACTGGGATAATGTAAGATATGAATGGTATTATAGTTGAGGCCATTATTGCCTTTGAGTACACATGTTAATGCTTTTCTGCCCCTGCAGGAGAGATCTTTCCTGATGCCTCCTACAGTCCTATCTTGTTTGTATTGTGGCTGTACCACCATTCTATGACTATCTTCACCAGTACCCCAGGTTTATTCCCTCCCCTCTGGTGAAGCCATAAATATTCTCTTTGAACTGTTTATCTTGTCCTGTATAGAGCTGTTACTTCCTTGAGACAACACATTCAGAGAACTTGAGACAACACATTCAGTACAACACATTCCTTGCCTCTTCTGCTCCCCACTAAAAACACTTTTTGATACTGTCTGTATTTACTCTTTAGTTCCTTTTAAATCATAAGGTCAAGGTGGAGTCATTGTTGTCTCATCCAGGCATTGCTTTTGGTAGAGATTTATTTTCCCATAAAAGTTCCTTTTCCTTAACTCACTCTTTCTTCCCCATTTTCTGTTGCTACTTCTTTCTGTGATTGTGTTTTCAATCAAAAGTAGTGGCTCTCTAACCTTCTTCTTGAGCATCATTGTATCATCCACAAGATCAACACCTTGAAAAAATTCTCCCCTCTTCCCACCTTCCCCCAAATAAATAAATAAATGAATAAATAAATTGTGTAACACGTTATGGTCTCACTGCTACTGGTTCTACTTTCACTATCACAAAGAGCTCTGATCCAACCCAGGGTTTCTAGTAGTAGGCTCATCAGCTATACTGTTTAAAATCTACAGGAATTTTATCTCCAAAAGAACAATTGTGGAAGAGGAAAGCAGAGAGCTGCTGGACCACAAGCACAGTTTCTACCTGTCTAGAAAGTCATCAAGGCCAAAGAAATAGCCCTCTCCTCCCCTCCTCCTCTCCTCTCCTCTCCTTCTCTTTTTTTAAAGAAATTTTGCTAAATTTATTAACAGTGAGTTAAGGCAGAGATACTTTCACATTATTTAGGAAACTATCCTCTTGTGTGTGATTTTCCTGACTAAGCACCCCAAAACATCACTGTAAACTATCAAAATGTTATCACAACTACGTATTGCTTGAAATTTTTGCACCAATTCTTCCACAGGATTGGAGTCTGGTAAGTAGGTAAGTAATCTCAATTTTCATTCTTTTGGTAAATAACCAAAACAGAGTTTCTGACCATAAAATTTGGGAAGAATATCTGGAAAATCTAAATATATGAGTTACAAGAAAATAACAACAACAAAAAAAAATGTTAAAACTCAAGATTTCTTGGTGTCTTAAAACTTTGTGTCTAGCTTCTGCTTATTAGTCACCCTATTGTTCTGCCCCATTCTGGTGTAGGCTATTCTCAACAGTTTTAGAAAATTTCTCAGTAAAAATCCTGCACTTGCTACTCTCAATCAAATCATTTCATGCCTGCTTCTTTAGATTTTTTGTAGAATAAATTTAACTCAATTACTTCAGTTCAGTCATATGTTCATGATTAACATCTCGATCTCATAATGCTACAATATCTTCAAAGAAAAAAAAGTAGCCCTGATTGGGTTCACAATTCTAGGTTTGCATAGATATCATCAAATTCACAGGCTAGGAACAGGTCTGTGAAATCTGATTTTGACAATCAGATTGCCTCTGCTCTCATTCACTCTTAAACTTTCATATGTTCTCAAAGCCATTATAATTAGTTGCAGGTATGATATGGAAAGGAGACAGCATCTGCAGAGGTTGAAGTCATTTCCCATGCCCTAAGATGTAAATTTTAATCAAAACTGGAACTGATAAATAAAGGTCTATTGGCAAAATTGCACTGAATTACTGATAAGGATGTGCAATATTCCTTGAGTCATTCCTTCCCAATAAATCATGTCAGCCAAGGTTAATAGGAGGGGAAGAATAAAACTGTCTTGAATTCTGAGCTTTCACTTCATAAAAAATAACACATTTAAGACTAGAACAAAACTGATAGTTTTGAAGTTTCTGGTAAAATATCACTTTTTACTAGCAGCACTATATGTGACTTGTAATGTGATATTATCTTTGTGGAGAATAGTCAGAGTTGTTAGTGTCACTTATAATCATCAGCCTTGGGCAAAGGGGGAGTTGAGCAGCTTTCTCCTGCTCATCTCTAGAAAGATCTTAGGGTGTCTTCCAAACCAGGCCATTCTATGATTCTATGAAGATAATGAGCTTAGTGAAGCACATGCTAAATATATGACTATAGTTCTCAAGTCTCCACCCAAATCAAGATAAATGCTACACAAGGGGAGGGAACAGAAAAGGTTAGGATATAAAGGAAAAGAGGAAAGTGTAGAAACTGTTTGTGTTAGGAAAAGAGAATTAGGAAAAAAGAAGAATGGGGGGTAGAAAGAATAAATTTGAGACCTAGAAGACACAGCCAATGCTCTGTGCTCTTTATCCTCCACCAAGACAGAGATACCTTCTTGGTAAGCTTTGTGCCTTCACTTTTTAGTAAGGAATACCCAGGACAGCATTTTTCTAGTGTTATTATCATATATCAGCGCTATTTATTTATCAACAGTAATTTTCAATCTGCTATATCTGTTGCCTTATTAAATACTCGCAACTTTGCAAAACTGTCTTAGCAAAAGTTGTTAGCAGGGCTCTGAAAAAGGTAGATGTTTGACTCTGATAAGCCATTTATCATGAAATATTTTTATCATACACTATCATTTCATATACAACTGCTTCTTCTGTATTTTACATATTTCAATTAAAATTTCCATATAAGTTTTCCTTTTACAAATTTCTGATATAAAGAATGTCCATTTAAGAATATTAATAACAATTATGTTTATGTTACACAAGTTTTATTAAAATCTGTATGATTTCATAACTTTCATTTGAGTAGCACAATTCTAGCAACTGGTTTATGTGAAAACTGCCTTACAGGTTTCAACAGGATACAGGATAAGCATTGACCTTTCAAGTGAAATACTGATTGCAAAACAGACACAGTGGTCAAACCGTCCAGTGGAACATCCATTAAGTTCATTCTCAGTTGGACTTCCTAAGAAATGCTTTTTCTGTGTGTGGACTGCTACCTTTTGACCTTGGTCTTCAGCCAGTTCTACTCTGCAACCTTTACGCTGTGTTAGTTATTCCCTTTTCCCACCTGACCCTCATTAACAGCAACTTTCTTCCTGTTTTGTAAGAGAAAAAGGAAATCTGTTCATCCAGCCTGATGCAGCCTAAGGTACTCATTGCCAATAAAACAGCCTCGCTGCAAAACAGTAGGGGAGTAGAAACAGACCAAGAACAACATAGAAGAAAATTTCAAGTGACAGAAAATTAGAAAATATAACAGAACACTGACTATTAAACTGTTGTATGCATAAATTCCAGCCTCTCATCCTCTCTTCCTTCTTCCTTATATGCCTGCTATGTAAGATGCAGTACTTTGCAGTACAGTGTTATGTTCAGGGACAAGATAGCCACAGCTTGCAGACACTGAGTTGACTGATCCCTTGCAGAAACCTCCAAACTTCTACAGCTTGCAAAAATATGAAGACCTGTAAATGTGGAACAGCTGGTGGATCTGCAGATTCCCCTGGCCAAGAGCTCCTTTACTACTCCTCCCTTCCTCGCTACTCCAAGTTTATCAAGCAAACCAGTTCTTCCCCTCTGTGCAATGTGCATAGATTAGCCCCTGCCTTTGGTTCTTTTGGCAGCTATAGAGATTATTTTAACCTTTGTTAACTTCTTCATTAGACATCTTTCAGAATATTTCTTCTTGACTCTAGTATAGAAAGGGCATATATCTGAACTCTTAACAGGCTTCATATAGAGCCAGAGTATTACTTCTTGACCAGCTTTTTCTATAGCAATTAACCTAGCTTATGTCCACACAGATAAGATGCTATTGTGCTCAAGTTATAAAATTAAAATATACAGATTAAAAAAAAAATAAAGCAAGAATTAAGGGCTGTTTTCATCAACAGTTATTTCAGTGTGTACTATGTGGAAGATGAAAGAAAAGTGTTACAGAAGATATGAATTACAGTAATTACATAAGCTTTGGATAGCAGTCATGAATAGCTAAGTGTTTCTACATGTGGATAGTCTGCAAGATCTGAAATTTCAAAAAACAACAGAAGTGAGGATGATGATTTTGCAAAGTATGTTTAACACATTGGGAGAAAGTGAAAATTATACTGGAAAAATACCATTGTAAATTCATCTAGATCTGCTAGCCTATGGGGAAAAACAAATTGAAGGAAGAACATCCATTAGTATTTGGAATAAGGAAGTACGAAGTAAAGGCGGTCCGGGAAATGACCCTGAGCATGGCTTTGCCCCTCCTGGGCAAGGCAACCTCTGCTTTCGTCTGTCACAACTTCTGGAATGCCTGTGGGAGACTTGAGTCTGTACAACCAGTGGCTGAAAAAGAAAGATACAAATGAAGAGCTCTAAAGATGGAGAGCCCAGTTTTTGTCTCCATTACGATGCTGAGCCTTAAGGATGAAGCATTACCTCAATAGTTTCACTAGTGAAGCATAGCAAAGCACCATGACACGTATCTATTATGTTTTGAAGGTGTTTAATTGCCTAAATAAGATGTTTAATTAATTAAAGTGTTTAATTAAACAACTGGATTGTTTAATTAACCTTGCAATGACAAATGGCTCAGTCTCTTATAGTTGAAAGGTGTCTAGAATCCTAAGCTCCAATTTTATTGAAAATTATGCTCTCATGAGAGAAAATAACTAAAATGAAGATTGAAATGATACAAATTCTTGATTGTTGCCTTTTATATACCCTTTCAAAATAGAGGCCACGTCTCTGGAAATTTTTTTAAGGTGGTTTATTAGCTGGGACAGATAACAACACTGATGCAATAGCTTCTATCTTACTGCTTGATATAAAGTACTGCATCCTGAATATGATGTTCATTTGGTGAAGTTTTTACCACATTGCAGTGGAACTTTCTTGTCCTTCCCCAAACAGTGTGAACCAACTTTCACAGCCACAAGAGAGTACCTGTGTGATAACTGTGGCTGTGGTGGTGGGCACTGACAACCCTGCAAGGGAGGAACAGTCTTCTGAAAGCAACTGGAGCAGGGACAAGCTTTCACCTTACAAATCCTAGCCAGATGTGTCTGCAGAAAGACATCAAGTCAGTAGTTCTTGAGTCTTACGTGATGGCAACTCCTGCCTGGGCACATGGCTGAATGTGAAAGGTGCACACACCTGTGCAAGTTATCTAGGCACCACCTCCCAGCTGAGCATGCAGCTGCAAGCAATGCATGCTTGCCTAACCCACCTTTTCCTCCTGGTGTACCAGTTCGAGGAGATGCTCAGACCTGTAGTAGAAACACAGAGCATACAGGTGCTCAGTTAGCTTCTCCATCCCTATGTGCTGTCAGTTTGACAAACCACAGCAACTCCATGACATCCTTCAGTGTCTCCTTGTCTTGACAAGACCAAGGCAGCAAGCAAGGTGATAGCTTCTCTCTGTGCAGCTCAGCAGACAGAACAGAGTGGAGCTGGTGTTGTCTCAGAATGTCCATTTCCCTCTCATGTCAAAGTCTGGATAAGTATAGCATGAGTATGTCCAGATATGGATCTGTCACACAACCTCTCTATCATAGAATTAAAGAATGGCTTGGGCTGGAAGGGTCTTTAAAGATCATTTAGTTCCAATCCCTCTGCCATAGGCAGGGACACCTTCCACTAGGCCAGGTTGCTCAGGAACTTGTCCAACATGGTCTTGAGCACCCCCAAGGATGGGGCATCCACAGCTTCTCTGGCAACTTGTTCCAGTGCCTCACCACCCTCTGAGTGAATAATTTCCTCCTAGCATCTGATCTAAATCTCCCCTCTTTTAGTTTAAAACCATTCTCCTTTAATATCTTAAGGAGCAAAAAGTTACTCCCTATCTTTTTTTATAAGCCCCTTTTAAGTACTGAAAAGCTGCAATGAGGTCACCCCTGAGCCTTCTCTTCTTTAGGCTGAACAGTCCCAGCTTTCTCAGCCTTTTTTCACAGGAGAGGTGCTCCAACTTCTGATCATCTTTGTGGCCCTCCTCTGGACCCACTCTAACACCCCACAACCTTCTTGTACTGGGGACCCCAGACCTGGGTGCAGCATTGCAGGTGGGGCCTCACAAGGGCAGAGCAGAGGGGCACAATTCCCTCCCTCCACCTGCTGGCCATCCCTCTGTTGGTGCAGCCCAGGATGCAGCTGGCCTTCTGCGCTGCAAGCACACACTGCTGGCTCATGTCGAGCTTTTCATCCACCAGAACACCCAGGTGCTTCTCCGCAGGGCAGCTCTCTGTGAGTTCTTCTCCCAGTCTGTGCTCGTGGCTGGGATTGACCCGATCAAGGTGCAGCACCTTGCACTTGTCCTTGTTGAACCTCATTAGGTTCACATGGGCCCGGTTATGTAGCTCATCCAGGTCCCTTTGGATGGCATCCCTTTCTTCTGTTGTACCAACTGCTCCACTCAGCTTGGTGTCACCTGTAAACTTGCTGAGGGTGTACATGATCCCACGGTCTATATTGTTGATAAAGATATTAAACAGTAACCGTCCCAGGACAGAACCCTGAGGGACACCACTCGTCACCAGCCTCCACCTCGACAGTCATTGACTGCTACTCTTTGGATGTGAACCCCCGAGCCAATTCCTTATCCAGCTAATGGCCCACCCATCAAATCCATATCTCCCCAATGTGGAGATCAGGATGTCATGTGGGACAGCATTAAAAGCCTTGCAGAAGTCCAGGTAGATGACATCAGTTGGTCTTACCTTGACACCTGAAGCAGTCACTCCATCATAGAAGGTCACCAGGTTGGTCAGGCACTGTGAAGCCATGCTGGCGGTCTTGGACCACCCCCTTGTCCTACATGTGCCTTAACATTGCCTCCAGGAGCATTCATTCCATGCCCTTGCCAGTCACAGAGGCAAGGCTCACTGGTCTTTAGTTCTCTGGCTCCTCCTTTCTACACTTTACGCTTTTTAAAAATGGGAGTGATGTATCCCTTTTTCCAGTGTTCTCCATGTCTGTCGTTACCAGTTCACACTTCTCATCTGTCAGAGGGGGGACACTCTCCTTGGTCCTTCTTTTCTGAGCAATGTACCTATAGAAACCCTTCTTGTTATTCATTGCATCCCTTGCCAAGCTCAGTTCCATCTGTGTATGCCCATCCTAGCTTTGAAAAAACTTTAAGATCAGGCTTGTGAGTTTATCTCCAAGGGCTGCCGGAACACAGTTTCCAGAAACTGTGCTGGCACACAGCATGGATGGTGAGAGGCTGGGGGCCCTTCCCACAGTGGTCCAGGCAGATGAACTGAGAGTATGTGGAAAATGGAATTACTATTATTATTATTATTACAGAATAGCTCAGCAAGGGCTAGCACACAGTGCAGAACCCCTTAGATGAATGCACAGGCACAGCTCCCCTGTGTATCTATCAGCGTTCTGCTAAAATGCTGCCCCAACACGATGAAGGGCCTTGCTGTGAGCTGGAGGGTGGATCTCTGTCCTTACTGTGTTCCCAGGAACATGGGATAAGATAGGAAAAGGATAGGATAAGATAAGGGATAAGAAAAGATGCAGACTCTACATCCACAGGCAGGGATTTTAGCCATAGCAGGTGCGGATCACTAAGGGCAGGTGGAGGCTGGAGCAAGCTGGCAGATTTGAAGCAGGATCAGAGCTCCTGACCAGCATGGTGACACAGGCTTGGATCCGGGACAGCTGGGTGAGGACAAGTGCATTCCTGGAGAGGCAACAGGATCTTAGTTTGACCTTTCAGGGACATGCCAAGCATGCAGCACTGAGAACCAGGTTGCTATTGCTATACAAAATCTGCTAACCACTTCCCCAGCCAAAAGGAATGACTAGAAACCTGCAGCAGTGGCACTGAATGAAACACAAGCTTCAGAGAGGGAGCTGTACCGAGCAGTTATCATTTCTATCCATCCATGAGCAGGCAAGACAATGCATTTCCCATAATACCAGAAGGTTTTTTTCAAGATAACCCAAGCCAGAGAGATAAGAAGATAAACAATATCTGATTCCTGAGTTGCATTAAATTAAAATATAAGAAGGAAAGATTTAACATTGTACAGATAGACATCAGAGGCTCAAGATACCTAGGTGGAACTGTTCAACAGTTTTGTGCATTCAAGGCACTCTGGAGATTCAGTGCATTTGAGCACGTCTGTGAATTGCTACTGCATAAGCTGATCCTGAGATATTAGTCTGTGATGTCCTCACACCAGAGATTCAAAAGAGGATTATCAGCCTAATAAATCACAAGAGAAATAATTTCCTTGTCAGCATAATTAAACAGAGAAAACACAGTACATGACACTATGTGCGGCCATGAGTTTCAGGAAACTATGTGTAAAAATGAGTTTTGGACACCCAGATCATAAAAAAAAATAATCAACTGGCAACAGAAAATATGTCCAGAAGGACTTGTGAGAAGGCACTGGAGAGTGGGAAGCACTTGGCTCGCTTCACCTGGTTTATCACATCAGCCCCAGGATCGTTGGCACTTGCTCATGCCCTTATTGGCTTTGAAGGAGGCACTGCTCTTTTCCAGAGCTATGCAGGTGGCTGCAGCAGGCTGTCCAGGGTATGGGATTATTTCAGCTTTGGCACAGCTGTGCTCTGAAAGGAAGTCTGCCCCAAGTGACTTTTCACTTTTGTTGTGATTTAAGAGTGGTCCACCCCAGAAAAATCCTGTCCAGTGATGACTTTTTTACAGGGTTCGTTCTTTGTGTTGACCTTTTGATAGACCCTCAAGCTAGAAAGTCTTCACAGACCTTCTGAAAACTAAAGAAGCACTGATGGTAGTAGGAGCTCGAATTAATTGCACCTTATCAGAATGCATGGCAGCTTTGCACCAGCTGCTGTTCCTTGTGGTTTGTTGTAAATGACATTTGGACAAAGCTAGGGTAGAAAATTGCAGTGCTAGTAGAGCAGACATGAAATGCCACATGAGATACCGTAGAGCTTTTATGAGAGGTAATGTGAGGCTGCGTGCCATGGTGAGACAAAGATGACCGGGTACTTCCAGGACTCCTGGATGGACAGAAATATCCTCAGAGGCCAGTCTCCTCCTGGCCAGTAGAAGACAGGGACCTTGAGTGCCCCCCTGGAAGAGCCTGTGAAGAGCTCCCCCACCAGAGCTGCAGGAATCTCACCAGCAGCAGGAGCTGGAGCCCTTCTTGTCCTGACAAAATTCTTGTAATTAGCTTTCATTACCCATACATAACCTGTTGCATAGTTTATCATGCAGCAGCTCTTGCATTAAACTCAGTAATACCGTAAAGATTTTAGTCTGAGACTATTTTTTTGGACCAGTCCTCTGCTCTGCTTTGCTCACTGACTGCAATAGAGATTTTACTACACAGCTGGGCATGGTCAGATTAATCTCTCCACTGAGGAAAATATTTAAAATGATAATTGATAATGTTACAAATAAGGTATCATTAATAGACAAGTGAGGGTCTGATTATGGAGTTTGTTATCTCCTGTCAAAAATTAGTAAGTATACTCTCCAGGGGAGAATCCATGGATTCGGCTAATTCCAAAAACTAATTTTTGTATTGGAGGTAGCAGTACTTAGACCTAAAATCTGTGTTGGCATTTCTGACATAGATATATATATACACACACACACATATACACATATATACATATACATGTATATGTGTATATATATATCAGTAAACATCTCTATGAATTTTACATGTTTCATTATATTCAGAAAATAAGTCTAGGTGTTTCTGCACAGGTTTAAGAACGGAACCTTTTGAAAATCAGTTAGAAAGTCAATAAAAATTGAAGGAAGAAAGAAGACATGCCAAGAAAAAGGAACGATCTTACGATTTAAATTACAAACAAATTATGAGATTTTCTGTATGCCTATGTCATTTTTTTTACATTATACAGTCTGTTTTTTCTATTTTCATTTTATATGATAACTTCATTGATGATATCAGGTTGCAAACTAGAAATCTATCCTTTTTTCAAAGGACTGCTAAAAATATCAAGGCAGTTGAATAATCTGTCAAAGAAAAAAAAAAAAAGATCAAATTCCACTGGGATATAAAATGTATGATTATGAAAGAAGTATGTTTTCCCTTCAAACTTTTAAGGTGAAGTTATGAGCAGTGTTTTGTGTTGCTTTCTTCTTCATTAGGACAGATGGAAATGGAGGTTGTCCTTCATAAGCCAGCAAAGTGTATAAACCACTGCATATTGTAGCATGTAATGAACACAGCAGTCCAGTAAGCGCTCCAGAGATAACAGTGGCAAAGAACTGGTGCTGGAAGTTTCTGTTTCTTTCCTGTTAGTAGGTTTCAGATAACAAATTAATCTCAAAAGAGATTATGGGTATCTTAAAGAGTTAATGAGTATCTTAAAATTGTCTGCTTCTTGTAATTGTCCAAAGGCCAATTGATCCTGAAGTGTATAAAACACTGATGCATGAAGATGAGAAGCAGAGCTGAGACAGCCAGCAAACAAACAACACACGGGAGCTCAGTGCTGTGTCTCTGGGCAAAAGATGAAGTTCGTTTTTTGCTTCATTCGTGTTTCTGTGCTTTTGCTCAGTTTCTCCATCATTTGTCTGGGAGTCCTTTGCATTTACACCAGTTCCTCTGTGTGCAGATGCGGGAACAACAAGCTGGTTGTTTATTTCCTGCTAGCTGTGGGGCTCTTGCTCCTCGTGGCTGGTGTTTTCTGGAGCACAGTCCATGAAGCCATGAAATACAGGGGCCTCAGCAGCATCTTCATGAGAAATCCCAGCCTTAGAGACCTCCATGTCAGCACCATAGACAGGTATGTGTTACAGTACTGGTACCAATGAACTGGGAGAGGGAGGGGGGGACAGATGCTGTTTTTTAAATGTACTCTGAGAAGAAAAAAACAATACAAAGTTTTCATCCAAAATAATAATAATTAAAAAAAAAAAAATCCATTGAGGGAAATTTTACTTTACTTTTTTTTACTTTTTTTTTTTTTTTTTTTAAACGGACATCAATCTGTGTAACGCACGCCAGTGAATAATGTAAGGCTTATTTTTGAAAACAGGACAGGTTGCCCAGAATGGTGCAAATCCATTCATGGGGAGAGCAGGTGCAACTGCACTGACATCTGTGGAGACCCTGCAGGAGCATCTCTAGTTTCACCCCACAAGACAGCTCAGGATGTGCTGCTGCAGGCTGTGTTCTCACAGTGCTTGTTCCAGCCACATTGCTCAATGGTGTGTGCAACAAGCTCCCCATATGGTCCTAGCTAATGTTTTCTTGCATAACTGTCCCTGCTATTTCTGAGCAGAGTCTGGTGCTCTGAGAGAGAGAGTTTCTTAAACTGGTGCGAGGCCTGACAAAGTTTTTAACAGGGTCACTGCACACAGATTACTTTCCCCAGACTGTTGTGGAAACCACATCAGAAACACTGGCAATGGGTGCTCTGAAAGCACTCTGCGTACAACATTTGGCACATTTTGGTGAGATAAGTAGGAACACACAATGCAGACTTTAAAAGTGTGGAAAACAATGATTATTGTAATAATAAATAAGTTACTAATTTAACCTACTCCAGACAGTGACCTCTTTTTTTTTTTTTTTTTTTCCAAATCAAGCTTTTCTCTGGCACTTGCTGAGATACTTACACGTGTAAGAGTCTGTATGCCAGGGGTGGGAACTCGCATGGTGAAGGTTCTTGTTTCTCTGAATTTTGTGTTTTAATAAAAGATTTTGGAAAAGGACATAGGTAATGACCCCAGCTCTTTTGTGCTTACATATTGCACTGATCCAGCCCTGCTTAGGTTTCTACTTACAGCTTAAGCTTCAGCTAAATTCTGGAATTACGGCAGACCTCACCAAGCTCCCTGAGACAAATCGTGTTTCACCTCAGTGTACTTCATGTTGGCTTGCTGTGTTTTCAGGCCGGACTTCTACCCCCCGTCCTATGAGGACAGCACAGATCCTGCAAAGCAGACCTTCCCGTTGCCAGCAGTCTCCACACCTAAGGAGCAAGAAGTCATCAACATCCCCCCGCCGCTGTACAGTGAGTGCAGTGCAGTGTCCTCCAGTGAAAATATCGAGGGAGAGCAGCCCCCACCCTATGAATTGGCTGCTGGCCAGGACTCGAGCCCAGAGAGGGACCCAAATCCTGGTGCACCCACACAAGAACATGTTTGCTGACAGCGTGGAAGCTGCCAAGGGACCTTGGAGAGAGCGGGGGAAACCTGGACGGAGCTATGTGTTGGTGCTGCCTGACACCATACCACAAAGCTGCTCCGGAAAAGCGCTGATCATCCTGGTGTTTGGGTGAATTTGGAGGGGTTTCAAAGCAGCAGGAGGGTCTCTGCCCTGCAGGGGTTTGCTGAGTGAGGAGGTGCCTCCTGTCATGGTCACGGTGCTCGTTCAGCTGGGAACAGACACCCGAGCATGACGTCCTGTGTGGCCACTTGGCCTGCGGGGCTCAGAGATGCCACAGCACTTATAAGAGCAAACGAGCTGTCCACAGCATTCAGAAAACCAGTTGATAAGGTGTGCATGAGAGATGTGTTCACTGTTACTGCACAGCCTGAGGGAAGCCCCTGCTGGGGGCTGCTGCTCCCCTGGTGCATCGAGGACAGACCCCATCCCTCCCCCTAGGCATGAGGGTTTGCTGCTCTGATGATCTGTGCCTTAAAATGCTGCGTGAAATTGCAGATTCTTTGGGAAGAAATGTAACAGTAAATGGGTCTGAGAGCTAGAGTTTGTCCCTGTAAAGGTCAGTTGGAAATCATCTGTTGGTTTCGTTGAAACTATAATAACAGTGCCATTTTAAAGCTTGATACCAAAGCAGTTCTACCCAAAAGGTACAATGGGCTTTGCTGATGAATCTTTGATGTCTGAGATTTTCAGCCTGATACAGAAATATGCATGCAAGAGTACTAAACTTACAAAATCAAATGATATACTGTGTTGCTCCATTGAGAATCATACTCAACAGGAAAATAAATAAATAAATAAATAAATAAAGATCCCACTGCTTACTATATATTTTTTTAAATGGCCAGAAATGAAAAGCCCAACTAGCTATTGCCATTTTCATAAAAATTCCTAATGTTTTTCTGCCTCTCAGACAACAGAGGTAGTCTTGAGATAGAAACTGTTGCACTGTGTCTTAGAAAAGTCAACCTCACAGGTAATACAAGTCATTTCCTATGCTGCTAGGTGGATGCTAGTGATGGAGCTTTGTGCTGCTATCCATCTTAAAATGTCTTCTGCCTCACGAGGAGTTTTGGCTGGAAGTCCTCATCTGTGTTTTTCTAACATTAGCTGACTTGCAAAATGTATTAACTCCTGAGCTTGTGTCTGGAATTTTTAACATTTGCAGTAATTGAGTATTTTTGTAGCACATGTCTTTGAAGTTACTTGTTTTACTTCCGGGTATTAATAGCAGGTATTTTACTACTGAATTCATGAATAAATTTGTATTTAAAACTAACCTTGTCATGTATTTGCCTATAAGATACAAGGTGTTCATGATTCAAGAAAACCACACAGTAGGAAACCTTAGTACACATCCTAACTGCTACAGGGACAACACTCATTATGCCCACAGCTCCTCAAATGGAATGGACAGTTGTGGCAGGAAAATCTGCTCAGGCTCATTCCTCCGAGCTGTCTCTAAACACAGTTGCTTCCGCTGCTGCTTACTCAAGAGCTGTGAGAGCTAGAAAGAGGGTCCTGTATCCTGTTTCTGATAAAAGTGGCCTTGTGGTTAGAAAAAGAGTACCGGAAAGAGGACAGGCTTGGACTCATCCTTCCTCTGCTACATGGTTCCTTCCTTCCGCAAGATCACAGACAAAAGTTTGCATCCAGTCCTCTGTAGTCTGTAATGCCAGATACAAGAAAAATGTTACAGAGGTTCACCCATTGGACTTTCAACAGTGACTATAACCGGAGCCTTGTTTTTGGTTGCAAACGCAGCAAATCAGAAGAGCTTCCAGATGCCCGGATGCCACAAGATAAGAAGTTTAACTTTATGTTTGCATTTATATTAGAAATGCAAGCCATGTTGGTGGTGGTGATAATGGCTAAGTCCAGAGAAGCGAGGAATTTTTTCTTCCAAAGAACTTCATCTCTTATGGGAAGGGCCTGTAAACCTTCACTTGATGTAAGGAGAAAGGAAATCAGGACAAAACGATGTGGAGAACCTGTAGGGAGAGGAAAATCCATGCAAGGCACGTGGAGGAAAAGGAATGTGTTAAAACAAACAGATATTTTTAAAAAGTCTCTGAGATAGATAAAAGCAGACAAAAAATTCTATCATTATGCAGAGACTTTGCAAAGTTACTGAGAAGCTGCACAGCACAGTAAAAGCTAGAACACTGCATGTTATTTCCAAAACATCTGGAGTGAGGATGTCATGTGTCAAGTGACCTTGATATGGTCAGTCCAACATTCAGTTTACATCCTGTAAAAACTGAGACACTAAAAGGAAGTGCACAAGAGGTGGAAGCAGGGACAGGTAACCACATGGAATAAGAAATGCTGTCTGATCATGGGATGTGTGTACTGTGCTGAAAAAGCTGGGCCATGCCTTTACAAGGCCAGTCTTTGTTATCTTTTGGAAGGTTGTGGTGGCTGGGAGAGCTTCCTGAGGACTGGAGGAGATCAAAGGTCACTCCTGCCTTCAGAAATGGACAGGCTGAAGAACTGGCCTGACAGAAACCTCAAGAACTTCCGTGAAGGGAAATTCAAAGTCCTGCCTTTAGCGAAGAATGATCCCTGGCACCAGTACATGCTGGAGCCAGTGGACTGCTATGCAGCTTTACAGACAAGGACCTTTGGGTCATGATGGACAACAAGTTGACCACTCATCAGTAATTCACCCTCATAGCAAGGATGACCAATGGCACTCTGAGCAGCATTAGGAAAAGCATCACCAGCAGGTCAAGGTTGGTGACCTTTCCTCTCTGCTCAGCACTGATGAGACACATCCTGGAGTGCTACATCCAGATGGGCTCCTCAGTGCAATGGAGACATGGACGTACTGGAGCATATCCAGCAAAAAGGCCACAAATATCATTAAGAGATTGGAGCATTTGTCTTATGAAGAGAGACTGAGTGAGCTGGGAGTGTTCAGCCTGGAGAAAGTTTAGGGGGATCTTGCCAATATTTATAAGTACCTGATGGGAGACGAAGAAAATGGAGCTCTTCTCAGTGATGCCTGGTGACAGCATGAAGCAATAGTCACAAATTAATACACACAGAACTCCATCACAACAGTCAAGAAAGTTTCTGTTTGCCTATTTTACTGTGGCAGTGGTCAAACACTTGAACAGGTTGCCAAGAGCGGTTGTGGAGTCTCCTCCTTTGGAGACAGTCAACGCTGGACTGGACACAGCTCTGGGCAACCTGCTCCTCCTGGCCCTGCGCTCAGCCAAGGGGTGGACTGGGTGATCCTATTTCTGATGGACTTGATAGTCCCTACCAACCTCAATGATTCTGTGAGTCTAATGAGCACTGCTGCCATCCAAGTTGTCTCTGAACACCACGTGCTTTTCATCCTGCCACTAACTTTACATTGCTCCCAAGGGAAAATGCAACAACCATTCAGCCGTGCTAGGTAGTAAATCTGCTTGTATTTTATGACTTAGCTCATACCACATGATGCTGAAGAGCAGATGCTAGTAGTATGTACAGCAAACAGCTACAACCGTGCTCATCCCCTGAGACTGCTCAAAACAATCTGTTGCTTCCAGTCACATGTGCACTACACTCTCCTATTGTTTTCAGTAATTCATTCTTAGCTATTGTGATTTGTAAACTGTTAAAGTTATGTCAGCCACCATTTTATACTGTTCCAAAGTTGGCTTTATTTCCCCCCTGTGTAGACTATTTATCTTAGATCATGACAGTAATTACTACAATACACTGTCAATAAATGGATGAGATTACAGACAATTTTCTTTAATATTGTATATTATTATATAATTCTTAAATTATGCTCCCTTGTATCTATTTCCTTTCTCTCTCTTTCCATCCCTCAAGCCCATTGTTGTGCTATTAGCATTTTTCATCATCTCTGTTTTCAGTAGAATCCAGCAATCTGTGCTTTCTTAGTCCTCTCCTTCTACCTGCTGCTCTTTATTCACGGGACCCACCCAAGCCCCATCTTGGTTAGCCCTCTGCTAATATACCTTGAAATAGTTTTTCTCACTGATGTCTGTGAACTCCTCCCTCTCTAGTGTGTTGCCAGTATATCTTCCTATCAATGGATACAGAAAAAATCTTGTTTTTGAAGACAGAATTACTGTACATGTCAATGCTAGCACAATCACAGTCAAACAACATGGGAACCTTGCAATTTCCAGACCTGATAAAACTGCTAATTCAATAATAGCAACAGAGGGTCTAGGTCTCCATCAAAAACCTCAAACACTGTGATAAGACAGATATTATTAATAACAGTTTTCTCTCTGCTAGATTTATACATGTATACTGTTTTAGGAGCCTTGCATCTTTGTGTAAACACATGTATGTTGCTCCTTTTCCTCATAACAACATCCAACCATTCATCTCTTACATGAATAAGTAAAAGACCTGAGCAAACACAGCACACTTTGAGATAATGGCTACAGTCCTTCCCCAGAGACATTAAAGATATACACTGTACTTCAGCCTTACAAAGTTTTATGCATCTTCTTGTCCAGAAAAGCAATTTGTTATGTTTTATCAATATTGCCAATCATCATTAAAAAGGGGCGGTGAGTGGATTTGGGGTTAGGCTGGTTTTGCTCAACAGTTATTCCAAGTCACACACAGTCTTTTTCTCCATTTCAGTACTGAGGCAAAACTGTTTCAGAACAAAGTCAGTACTGAACTTTTGAAACATACCCTTTGTTCACAAAGGCTGCCTTTACAAAAGCAGACTGCCATCTACTGCAGCTAGTGCTCCAGTAACTTTCTGATAAAAGCATAAGTATGATCAGACCACCATGTGATCAAAAATGATTACATTTTCAGAGAACATGTAAGAGATTTTAGAAGTTCTTGGACTGTCTCTGTCAGAACATCCATCCACGCAGCACAGTAATTTGAATTTAAGTGTCATAATCTTGAGTATGTCTATGCTTGACCACCTGTAATACACTACAGTTAGGAACTCACTAGCCTACACCCAGAGGATTTTGATTTATAGGAAAACTGAAAGAATAGTTAAACAATTCTTCTCTAAAGATGATGATTCTTACATTCAAAAGATGTCCAAAGTATGTGAGAATGCCATGTTCTTCTCCAAAAAAAGGTCTGTAGAAAAAGAACTGAAGCCTTACAATTTCTTTTGGCTTACCAGAACACTTAATAGTAAGGTGAGATGCTTTGTGAAAACATGAGTGCCTCATCTGTTTAGAGTCAATTAAGTAGATAGCATATTTGTATTAAAGACAGTTTTATTAGGATGCTTGAAAGTGCAGTGTGTCTTGTTAACAATTGCATATTAAGACAGAAATACAGCATACCTCTTTATTGTGTACTCAGTGTCATAGAAATTTTTTGACAGAAGTGTTGAAAGAAATCAAAACAATTTCATTTGCTGCAATGTCATATAAATTGCACTAAAATTTGACAACCACAATGAATTGAAACACACTGCAAAGAGGCAAGTTGCACAAAGCCACCTTGACAAATGATACAAGTGACCACACTGTTCCCAAGGAAGCAAAGCTTTCAAACAAGTCACATGCATAAAGTGTTTGTGTTCTTATTCAGAGCACAGTACTGTAGCTAGAACTGCCATATCACTTCACAAGCAGAAAAATGCTGATGTCTGTATCCCCAATGTCCTTCTCAGATTTATGCCAGGTCATCTCTTCTCTCTTTGTGCTCCCCAACATTTTATTTCATAATCTACTGGAACACAGAATCTAACAAAAGCTGAGTCCAGCTGGTGTATCAAACAAGTTATTTCTATTTAATTCATTAGCGTTTGTTTTCATTTCCTCTTCACTACACAATTGACTTACCACTTTGTGGTAAGTAGAATGTCACTGCTCCAAAGACTTAAAAAAATTCCATAATAACTTCATGAAAAACTGCTGAACTTTCAATGTTTACCTTTCAAACACAGTAAGCACCAATATCATCTGCTGACATGAGGAATACTGCAAAAGACAGCCAAAATTCCACACCCAACATATTGCTGGAAGGACACGATCAGCTTCCATAGCACAACTGCCTCCCTCTGGAGGTAAAAAAAGAGTCTCAAAATTCAGGAAGATGTAAAGGCACAGGTCACATTGATATGCTTTAAAAGAAGGGTAAAAAAATATATAGGATGACCCTTTCTTTAGGAGCATGTGCAAGTGTGTACACAGCACTGCTGCCAGCGTGTATTTGTGAGCAATGGGAGAGACTGGTGAGGAGAAGTGGTGTCAGGTTAGGAAACACACCCTTTGCAAAGTTTAATATAAAGCTCTTAAGCCCCAGACTTGCTTTGTA